ACAAAATCAGCGAAACAGAAGCACGAATGTGTTACGCCACTCTCCGCGACAATACAATTTTGAGCAAGTAAAGCCAAAGATGATAGAACTTCCCCCTCCCCCCGCCCCCCAAACAACATCACCACCACCACTACCAAACCCCATCCTCAACCCCGACCAAACCTAATCCCACCCACCACCACAGTCAACAACGTCAACGTCGCCACCTTACAGCGTCATCGAGTGCAACATCTCCATAATGTGCTGCTGCATGCCCGCGATGCTCTCCTTCCTGCGGCACGTGCTGCCGGCCGTCTTCGGCAGCACCAACCGCTCCAAGCATTACAACTACAACAACGGCGGCGGCGGCGGCGAGGACGGCAGCTACAAGATCGGCGGCACGGGCGGCACGGGCGGCGGCCGCTCCGCCCTTCCCCTCCAACGCCATCCAGAAGAGCGTCACCCACACGGTTTCGTATTTTCCGCGCTCTGGGGACTCGGATGATGTGGAGTTGATGGACGTGGAGAAGAATAAGAGGGGGGGGGAGGCGGAGGAGGGGTATGGTAATCGGTGGTGAGTTTGGGTTTGAGTGGAAGGGGTGGTGGGTTCGCTTCCGTCTTGCCCTCGGGCGGTTGCTTGGTGGTGTATTTTTTGCTTTCACATGGCCCTGTATATTTTATTGGCGCAGTGTAGAGGCGAGGGCTTAAACAGAATAGTATAATAAACAAAACAGTAAAATTTGATGGTTACTGAGTCAAAACAGGCTTGGATATTTTCGAGACTGCGGTTCCATCACTCTAGATTTATACAGTGTCATGCAACAACATCCTTAAAAGAGATGACACACAGGCTGGGGCGAGAAAGACGGCCACGATGAAGAACGGGGAGAAGTTCAAGTTCATTAACAGATACGCGTACTTCGTGTTCAATGCACATCACCGTCATGAGATATCAGGAACCAGACAATTTGTTCTCGCAGACCTCACGGCCGCATCAACTTGTATCAATTGATCACCGAAACCACCCCTTGGCTCCCACCCGGGAGAAATATCATACACAAAAAACAAGCAAAGCCATATATACAACAACGAAGTGAATACACACCAGCCGTCAACGTTGGGGCGACAAAGACAACCGCCAAGCCATCAACAACTGAAAGAAGCCGGGGGAAAGCCCGGTCTTCCCAAGGTGAATCGCGCTGGGCGAAACGAGGCGAAAGGATGTCAACCGGCGCGCCAACTTAGTTCTTGGCGCGGACATCCCGGGCGTGGCGGCGCTTCTTCAGGCCAGGGCAGCGAGTCGGGCGCGGGGCGTTGCCGCCGGCCGAGGTGGTGGTGGAAGGGGTGGGCTCAGGGGTGGGCTCGGGGGTGGAAGGGACCTCGGTGGCGCCAGCGTCAGAGCCGGCGGTGGTGGTGGAGGCCGCAGGCGGGGCGGTGGCAGAGCCGGCGGGGGGAGAAGTGGCAGAGCCGGTGATGGCCGAGCGAGCCCGGTGATCGGCAGAGGAGGACTGCTCCATGGGGCGAGGCG